AATTACATGACTTTATTTAATTATATCAAATACTTAGATTATACATATATATTACAATTCAGAAGGAAGTCATTTGTAAGCAGCATCTCCAAATGCATATCTAAAGTCCTCAAATCTTTTATCCAGAACAGCCTCTGCAGCCACAATGAACACATTCTACTATTCTACCCTAAACAAAAATATATTTAAATAATTTAAGATAACTTATGAAAGTAAAATAAAATACCTCTTCTAGTTTTCCTTTCGGGACACGACAAATGCAGTTTGTACCAAAATTTGTGTCCCTAGTCTGAATACAGCGTAAACAACACAGATTTTCATAACCTTGCTTTTTCCATTTTGCAATAAGGTTTTTGTCAGCTATATTTTCATTAATACAATATTCATACAATTCTCTATTAATTGCCTTTCTTCTGTAATACAAATCATAAATGTACCTAGATTTCTGATGGTGGATTTTAAATATTGGCCATAACGATTCTTGTTTACGTTTGCCTTCGTGGGACTCCGTTTCAGCTGTAGAAAAAAAGATTATTAAATTTAACAAAGTTTATTTTAAAACCGAACAAATTACAAACCTTCACGCATTTTTTGTTCCAGTTCATCTAAAGTGGGTTCAATGAGTTCCCAACCTTCTGGTGGAGGTTTACGACTTCTACGAACTTTAGGCATTTTAACAATAACTTTATGAGAAAAATTTTGTTTTTAATGAAACACAAGTGCAAAACTTCTTCTTGGGGCATTCACTATAAAAAATTAAAAGTACTTCGTAACACTTCCTTTTAAAATTTGACACTTGTTGACAATAATTTACTATAGACAATGACAATAACATAGATGACAATAATATAAGCAAAATAGTTTGAGAGTGGTTAAAAGCACTAGAAAGTGTTGGAAAGTACGAAAGGATATTGTGTGACTATTATCATTTCTTAATTACTTAAGTTCTAAAACCCAACCATCATAAATTAATCCTTTATGTGTATTACCTTTAGAATTATTATTTATTACTAATCCAGTAACTTCTCATTTTGAAATAATTGCATTAGGTTTTATAGAATTTATGACTAATTATGACTACTCGTAATATCTAGTTTTAGCACAAATGACTAGAAGATAGCGTGATAAAGTGACAACAGCAGGGGACTGCAGTGTTGGCTAGGGCATTGTGTTGAATTTTTATTAGAATTTCCTTTAGGACTTGTTCAGAGTGACTTCAAAATTTTTTTTGTGACTAATATTGTGGATAATTTTTTCAGTTCCTTTTATCGGTTAATACTAGTACGTTTCAAAGTTGCGTCATTCAGAATGCCAAGAGGTAAGGAACGTTTTACGTATAGATATTGCTTGGTTATTTCAGTCGCTGTTTTTTAGGAAAATTCACAAGTCATAAAGGAAGAAATCGTCGTTTTACCAATCCCGAAGAACTAGAAGAGGAACGAAGGAAAGAGGAACAGCAACGAAAATGGAGACAACAAAGAGGTGAAGTCAGTAGTAGTGATGAAGAAGAGGCTGGTGATGAAGAAAATAGTGAGGCAGCTAGTAGTGAAGAAGAGACTGATAGTGATGAGGTAAGTGAGCATTAACTGACATTGTGGTTTTTACTTGCAGAATTTCTGCATTTTTTTAATTAACCTTTTAGGAACCTAAGGCCAAAGGTGTTTCTAATCTTATAGAAATTGAGAATCCAAACAGGGTTCAAAAGAAAGCTAAAAAATTATCCACACTGAATACCTCCACTTTAAGTGATGACTCTCCACAGTTATCTAGAAGAGAAAGAGAGGAAATTGAAAAACAAAAAGCACAAGCACATTATCAAAAATTACATGCAGAGGGCAAAACAGAACAGGCTAGAGCAGATTTAGCACGTTTAGCAATCATAAAACAACAAAGAGAAGAGGCACAGAAGAGAAGAGAACAGGAAAAGAAACGTAAGTTTCTCAAAGGGAACATTTCTTACTCCTAAATGGAAACCTGATAGAGCTAGATAAAGGACTAGGGTCAATAAGAGTATAAATATAGTCCCATAATAATGACTAAAGTTTTCTAATTTTTTTTATACACGCTTATTCTAACAATTCATACCATTTAGGATCTCTCTATTAGTTAAATGTAATTATTCTGGGTTTCAAACCTGGTCATTTTTAGCTTTTTTGTCAGTTATTTGTATTTTCACATTTCACAATCTATGTTGTCTTTTCACTTACTCAATATAAAGTATATCCACATCAATGGGAAAATACAGGAAAAATCTATACTGAGGCCATTTTCATACTCATGTTGACTCCAGTCTCCTTAGGTGCACATTTTCAAATTGAAAAGCACAATTAAGGTTTAAAGAAATAATTATTTTTTGTTTTTTTACAGAAAAAGAGGAAGCGGCAAAGCAGAAGACTGCTCAAACTCAAAAAGCTTTAGGAAAGAAATGAAATTATTGACTATTTATTAGGATAAAACTACAGTAAGTTATTGCTCCATGAGTATTTCGAAATTGTTATATACATTAATTGCCTATGAACATTTTAGTGCTACAGCTGTTGAACATCCTTACTGTTTGATGATGCAATAAACTGCAATTATTTTCCATAAAAGCAAATACTTTGATTTCAATATTATTCAAATGTTTTGTTCTTTTTTATTATGAAAGTTACAATGTTTTATTTCTGATATGTTATCACTTTTTAGACAAAAACTAATTATGTATGTTAATGTACATCCTATATTAAAAAATATATAATTTTTGTAAACGAATTACATGACTTCTCATTAAGAATGGGTAACATTATTATTATGTTTAATCAGTTTAACATACAATAAAGTAAAAAACGAGATTAATTTCTGTTAACATTACTGTTAAAATTGACACTTATTTATATCATTAACAGTTGCTTCAACTATTTTGTAAAATGTTCACTTTTTATGTATATTTCAAGAACAAAAGAGAATAAAGGATTTTGTTTATCTGTTACTTTGTTTTGTTAAATATTTAACTTGAGTAATTAAAGTTGAAGTTATTTTTAAGTTGGGAGTTAGAAGAGAGGGTTACAAAAGCGTAGTTCAATTCACCATAAGGTGATATTTATTCACCTTCTGGTAGCATATATACAAAATCCTTTTTTTTTTTTATTTTGTTTCAGGAAATCAAGTATAATTCGACGCTGAAAATATAAATTCGAAAGTACGATACATATATTTGAGCTTCACATTTTTCAAAGCTATAAAATTTATTAAGCGTAATACCAGATAAGATATGTCATTATATCAATCATTTTAATAGTAAAAATGCATAACTACTGTAATTGAACTGATTTTCCTCGTTGAGAACTAACGTGGTACAAATGTATTACATTTTAATTTAAAACGAAATTAAACGGAAACGATAAAATTGGTACCTAATCAGTAATTACACCTATATCTTTGAGATGCTTGGTAAAAGTATGTTTAAAGAGATAAGAAGAGAATGATTAATTAAACAATTTCTTTCAATGTAAGAAATGCAATACAAGTATAAAGAATGTAAAAAGAAATTAAACAAAGTATAATAAGTAATAGGTATCAATTGAAAACTAGGAGAGAAATATTTTATTGAATAGAATCCTAAAATTCCCTCGTGAATTCATAAGTTATGTGATTATGTATTTTTTCATCACATAACTACAATTTAGAATCAAAAAAATAATTTTTAAAATTAAAAGTATCAAATTAAAAACTAGATTGTCATCTCTGTTGATTCATGTCTTCGTAAGATGGCAGAATCTGTATATTTCTTTGCTTTTATTCGGGAATGTATTAAAATATATTGGTTTAATTTGAGAGTAAAAAAAGAGACAGAAGCAATTTACATACTAATTTAAAAATTTCTTTCCCTTTACTTTGCATATTTTTTGTTAATTATGTCTAAAAGTGCATTAATTAAGATTAGCTAGTTGTTGCTCAGCGTGTGAGATGGCGCAATGTGTCTCAACGTTGAAATAAATAATCTCCATCTTTTAAAAGTTGAAAGTTCTTTACGTTGTTTACTTGCTCTTTTTATGCGGTGTATTTGTGTTTCTTGATTTCGCGTTTCGTGATAAGACTACAGAGTTATTTATTATTTTTCGTTTGTGCCTTACTACATCTGCAGAATATTGCAGCAGTTTTTTGAAACTAAAGTAAGTTTATTTAAAATCAACTATAAACTCACTTTGATTTCTTGCAATCTCTATTAAAGGAGATAATCACGACTTATTAATATCGTATCTAATGTAATGTACTTTAGAAACAGAAAATCATAAAACGTGCATTACTTTTAAATAATGAATCGTTAAATTCTCTTAAAATGTTATTTCTTAAAAATGTAATAATTCAAAATTGAACTTAAAAAAAATTTTAAATATCGTATACTTATACCTACACATATATCTTTTATTAGTAAACTGTTGTAAAATATGAGGTTATATTCAAATTAAGATCGTGTTGGTAGCGTTGGAAGAGCCATTTTGTGTGCTCGTGGTTCCATGGCAGTTTACAAATTTTGCTAATTAGGTACTCAAAATTTAATGCAGCAGGTAAGACTCGTACGCAAAAATTGTTTTAATAGAACGTAGGAACTCATTAAAATGCCTGCCAGAATTGTTTAAAATTCTTAGATAGGAACTTATTATTAAGTAGGTTGTCTTATATAGAGAGGGAAAATTAACAATTGCTAATTTTATTTAAGTAGTTACAAAATTATGTGAATATTTCCGATTTTTGCTTTTCTACTTTTGGAGAACTTATTTATATTATTTTATAAACCGAATTACCCTTGCTTTGTTCTGGAAAAATTAGTTATCATTGGGGAACGTTCTCGAGCCTTCTAGAAAATTCTAAAACATTCTCGAATAGACGTAGAGTATTTAGAAAAACCCTGTGACATTCTTTAACGTGACGGCAATACTCAATTAACACCTTCGCTGACTCTTCTTGTGGAGTCCTTTGGAGCGATAATTTTTAACCCCCCCCCCCATGTCTAAAACCAACCGTTGTGGGTGAGGAAACCGAAACCCTCTTCATCTACCGGGGGATCATACCATATAACCCTCAGGAAAAAATTGTTATTATTCAGGAACATTCTCGAACCTTCTAGAAAATTCTATAACATTCTCGAAGTGAAACCTTCTTTAAAGCCGAAGGATGGAAGGCTATCATACCATATAACGCTCGTGAGGCTGCTGGATTTGAATGAGGGGTTTTAGGGGCATGCACGGACACAGTTTTCATTCGGAAACGTTCTTGAACCTTTAGAAAATTTTAAAGCATTCTCGAATCCGTAGATGCAGGTTATCTAGGAAAATTCTGTGATACCCTTTAACGTTCAGACAAGACGTCGGAACTCAATTGATACCTTTATATATATTTAATATCTTTGAAACCAATCCCTGCAGCTAAAAAAACCGAAACCTTCTTCAAGGAGTAGGTATGGTAGACTATCACACCATATAATTCTCGTTAGGGTGCAGGATGAGTTTTATTGGCACGTACGGATAGACAAAATATTTATTTTACATATGCAAGCCGGATTACTGTCGCTTCTCTCAGGAAAAATCAGTTTTCATTCGAGAACGTTTTCGAACCTTTTAGAAAATTTTAAAACATTCCCGAATCCGTAAATGTAGAGCATTTAGGAAAGCTCTGTGATATTCTTTAATAAGTTTCTGAAGATTTTTATTTCTTAATTTTTTTATTGTTCTTTACATTTATTCTAATATTTCATAACATTTTCTAATTCTTGAACACAATTAATCCAGTGGTCAAATTTGATTATTCTTAAGATTCTTATCATTTTTACTTTTTAAATTACGACCTGCAACTAAAAATTTCAAACTGTCACTCGAAATATCAACTTGTAACTTGGAATCTTCATTCATTTAGTTACCTACCAATCAGCTGCTGTCTGCGATTCAATTGTCTTAGGTTTTTTTTTACAAAAGAAATTATGAATTTTTAGTAATTCTAGTTTACTTAGAGTTTATTTATAATGGTCATTATCAACTGTCTATTTGGCATTCTTCGAATAACTTTTGATTGCGTTTAAATCGTGATATAGTAGTTTAATATTATATATATAAAGAATTATGAGTGGTGTCAGCACAGGCAAAGTAGTATTACGTAAATGAAAGTTAGTATTAGCAACTGTTAATGCTGAAGTGTACGATGTGTTCCATACCTATTTACAAACAATTGTTTTAAA